TAAAAGTACTGTAATGTTGGATGTCTGAGATGGCGGACAAATTTCCTCTTGATGAAAGGCGATTTTCGTACAAAATCAAAAGAAATTGAGTTCAAGCTCCACTTGAATATTCCGTCTTGGGTCAGGCTGCCTTTCTGTGCCGTCACCATTTCGGATGACTTGCAAATATAAACGAGGGTAAGAAGGACTTACCGCGCCTCAGCAATTGGAGGGTGCGTAGGTAGGTAGGCAGGTAGAATTACACGGCGCGGTCCCGATCCGTGAAAGCTTCAGTGGGCCCTCGTAAGTCCATCTGGACGAGCTCATGGACGCTCGCCGTCGTAGATCTGGACTAACATGAAAAAAAAACCAGTTGGTACGTACATCAACACGAGTTAAGTAAAGCCTCAATTATTCCCCGAATGTTATAGATATATTTCGATCCAGGTGGCTGCGGGAAGTTACGGCGCACGCTGAACATGGTGAATGATGATCCGAATTCACGTTGGGCGCCCGGGCAGAAAGTTCAGTTTTAGAAAAGGGCGAGATCAGGAGGGGAGAACACTATCATTGTAAATGCCCTCCCTTATCTTCCCAAAATCAGGGTGCCTTGCCATGCCTCCACAAAAGCCGGGTGCTAGGTGCCTTCCCAATCGTTTTTCCTGCCTTCGAAGCGGGGTACCTTCCCATAGAAGCAGGATGCTTCCTATGATCGTTCGAGGCATCCTGGGCATTGGCGTATCGTGGCCCCGAGGACGTTTTGCCAATCTTAGCTTCGATCCACCCGCTTTACTGTTTCAGTTCGCAAACGTTACAAACGGAAGTAACCGATTTATTTCCGTTACAAACCTCTACGTCGAGAGTGATTGACAGCGTACATGTCCGTTAAGTCGAACTCCCAGGAATCCCTGCGTAGGACTCCCGACAAAGAAGAGCAATCTATTTTCTTTCACTGCGACTTATCCCAACTCCACGTCCCTGTACGTGTCCTTTGACAATAATTACAAGAATCTATCCCGTCCAAAAGAAAGAAACAAAAAAACACATTAATCTTCTACTAGGATACGCTGATGCCGGGAATCGAACCCGATCTGCTGTTTTACACCAATCATTTAGACTCTCATCCAAAGACAGCCGTGGACCCTCCACCCCTATGCGTCTTCGGAAGGTACTCGATACAAAACTCTTCAGCAAATACGACTACTTCGTCGAAGAGCAAAACAAAACAAAGCAATTCAGATACAGTGCGCAAGCGTAGATCCTACAGTCCAATGCAATTACCCTCCCCACTTCACGCTCAAACCCAACCCAAGGAACACTCAAACCCTACGCCTCCTCCCCCTCCCCCAAAGCGCACCCCACTCCATCAGCACCGCAAACCAATAACAGTCGTTCTGCGCGTCGGTGAGGACCTGCTCCGCGAAGAGGCGCCCCGTTTCTTGGATGCGGTGGGCCTGCGCGCGTCGGGTGGTTCGATTTCGGTTTCGGTTTTAATTGCAGTGGTCGGGTCGGGTGAATCGTTCAGGTGTTGATTCAGTTGGGACGCAAGCAAGAAAGAAACGGGAAAGAAAACATCAGCCTCGTTCAAGCCCATGCAGAAAGAAAGAACCACACAACGCAAAACACGCACCTCCTCGTCATTCGCCCTCGCCCACTCGACCTTTTCCGCCAAATCTGCGAGGTCGGGACGCACGGGGATAAAGTGCTCGTATGGGACGAGCCAGGGCGTGAAGAATTCCGTGAAGGCTGTGGACTGCGAGCGAGCGAGAGGTCAATAAACGATAGAAAATGGACGACGAGAAAAGTAAAATGCCAAAGTCGAGTGGAGGTGGGCCAAAAAACGCAGCCCACGCACCTTGAAAACCAACCCCCCACTCCTCAACAACCCCAAATACCGTCCCGAGAACGTGTTCCCGTCAACGTCGAGGAGGTACTTGTACCCGTACGCCTCCTCCCTTGGCACGCTCTCGCCGGTGATGTTGTATGCGGCGCGGATCGGGGCGGGGTCGCAGTTGTCTTTTGTGCGCGTCGTTGTTATTAGTGGGCGTCGGAGAAAGTTAGTTAGTTTCATTTTTTTCAAAAAAAGAATGGGAGGACCCCCACGCACCAGTACAATGCCACTCATGCCACTGCGTGATGCGCACGTCGAACAGGCCCTTCGCCTTGTTCTCGGGGAGCGCGGCGAGGTCGATGAGCCGGAAGCGCGGGAAGGAAAGGTAGTTGGTGCCGCGGATGTGCCCGCCGTTGGATTTGCCGCGCCAGTCTGGGGGTGGGGTGAGCAAGGAGGAAATGGACGAGCGCCGACAAGTCCGAATCGAAACCAAAAGGAATCAAAATGGAAAATTGAAATTGAAATCACACCAACAAAGCCCAAGTCCAAATCGAAACAGAAACACAAACGCAAACGGAGACGAAAACAAAGAGCGGACAAGCCCGAATCGAAATCGAAACAAAGCCGAGGTCGAAATCGAAATCGAATCGCTAACCCGAATCGAACCCCAATTGAAACCAAAAGAAAGAAAGAAAAAACCGAAACAAAAATGGAACGAGAAACGCAAAGAAACCACTCACACAACACCCCCTTCTTATCCTCCCACTTTACGTCGTTCTGGTACTCGAACTTGCCCGCCCACCATGAGTTGCGGTAGTAGAACTGCGGTCAAGTGATTAGTGCGTCAGCCACGGTAGGGGATGTGCTTGTGAGTGTGCAGGTCTCGAGTTCGAGGTGTTCTGCGAACGAACGAACGAGGAGCGGGCGAGGGAATCGCCGTCTCGCAGCGACGGGGTTGCACGCTTCACAGCGGACGAGTTTTACCTCCCCCTCCACAAGCTCGAAGTCAAAGAAACACTCGAAACCACACAAAGAAGCAACAAAAGGAAGCAACACACCTCCCCCGGCATCAATATATCCGCGAAACACGACCCCCCTCCGCCTCCTTCAAGAGACGCAGAGGCGTCCGCGAGTTTCGTCATACTAAGCACGGGCACGAGGTCGGTCGTGAACTCGGCGGAGGAGGCGGAGAGGAGGACTGGGCGTCGCGTTAGCGTTAGCGTGGGTTTATATTTCGATGCGAGAAGAAGGGAAGGGAAGGGATGCGAGGGATGGGAATAACAGAGAGAGGGAGAGGAAGAAAGAAAGGGAAGAGAAAGGACTCACACGGCACATCACTCAACACCCCCTCGCCCCTGCGCGGGCGACACGCCGCGCGCGAGGCGAAGAAGGCGCCCGTGTCGGGCGGGGAGAGGCCGAATGGGTGCGGGTCGGTGAGTGTTAGCGCCGGGTCGGCGTCTATGTGGGGTGTGGAGACGTCCACGTCCGAATCGGCCTGAATACCAGGTGATGAAGATGGTGATGATAGCGCGGGGTCCTCGAAGAGCGGACCGACGTCGAAGACGACGCGCGGCTCGTCGCGGCCGGAGATGAGGACAGTCATGGGTGGGAGGTGTGCAGCGAACTGCGAGCAAGAGTAAGGAAATGAATCGAGAGGAAGGAAGGCGGTGAGGACGCACCTTATTTATCGTATTCTCCCAGTCCCCATCGAAATACGTCGCCTGCTTTTCTGGTTTATGTGCACGACCGTCGCGGATGGTGAGCGCCGCGACGCCGTGTTGCTCTTCCGAGAGCTGCGCGTTCCTCCGTTAACCGCATTCCGCACTCCATAAAGCAAAGCAACGACGGAAACACACCTTCTCCACCATCCCCCCCACCCTTTCCCGAAACCACCCCCGCCCACCCCTCCTCACCGCCCGCCAAAACGGCGCAAAGTCGCGCTGCACGCCGTCGTACCCCGCCGCCACGCACCCTCTCTCCCTCGCAAACGCCCAAAACGCATCGTAGGCGCGGGGCGGGGCGCGCCCGGTCTTGAGCGCGTAGAGGGCACGCGCGGAGGCGAGGGAGGGGGCGTCGCGCGCGCGGAAGGCGGCGACGGACGCGGATGCGAGGGCGTGAAGTTTTGCTGCGTTGTCGGCGGTCGACGGGGCTGGGGAGGTCGGGTACCACCCGTCTGCGTGCTCCGGCGGAGAGGGCGGTGGATGTTGGTAATGCGGGGCCCACTCCGAGACGGGGAAGCCCGCGCGGGGGCCGAAGTAGAGGTACGTCGAGCCGACGAGGAGGACGAGGGCACCGGCGGCGGCGAGGAGGATGAGGCGTGCTCGACGTTGGCGGCGGCGGAGGCTGGAGTGCGAGGTGGACGTCGTGAGGGCCAGCAGCGGCCGCGCGACAGTCGATTCCATAGAGTGGACAGCGAGAATGTAAAGACGGCACGCCAAGTCCGCGTGGGAGCAATTTCTTGGTCAGCTGATCGATCCTCCATGGAGGTTGAACTCGAGTTGAACTTCGAGGGATTCCTATCTCGTGTAGTTCTGCCTATGCCTACCTATCCATATACAAGCGGGTGCAGTGAATGGCTCACCGCTGTCTTCCATTAGGTGTCATCTAAAGTTGAAACGGCAGAACCGGGTTCGGCTCCCGGCATCCGCGTGTGCTCGAACAGTGCGTACAGTAAGCTTTTTTTCACCGAATGATAGGTGCTTTGTAAACCCATGCTTCGTCGCTTCGAACCGTACTTAATTCCAGGTTTCTTCGATTTCGTACTCTTTTGAAGCTCACTCTTGCCTTAGTCCGACATTAGCCGAGATCAACCAACAATCCCACGATTGTTCAAAAGCCAGCCTTCTATCTTCTATTCACACTGTTGGAGTTGTTACGAGACCTGCGGACATTGAGCGGGCGTGGTGTAGTGGTTCACTGCTATCGGCAATGACCAAATTCTCAGGCGTAAACAGCAGAACCGGGTTCGACTCCCGGCACCCGCATGGCCTTCGCAGTTGAATGTTTTTATTGTGCCTTCTTTTTTTACGCTTCCCTAGCCTCGACGCGAAAAGTCCAGGCTTCTCCGAGTCCGTATCAAACTTCAAACCAGGGTATTCTGATTTTTGCACGGATTACACAAGAATTGTGTAGGTGGTCATATCTGACGAAAGAGTGTAGGTAGATACTGGCCCTGCAGACAGCCATAGAAGCGGGTGTGGTGTATGGTTTACTGCTGTCGGCAATAAGAATGGGATAGTTCAGTTCAACAGCAGGTCCGGGTTCGAGTCCCGGCACCCGCGTGTCGTCAAGATATATATCATTTTATTTTTTTACGCTGCGCCGGCTAACACAAACCCACCGACAAGATCTCTGTGGCCACTGGAGGAGGATAGTCGAAATTCAACCAGGGTATCCTGATTCCTCCCTCGTGCCGATTTATTGTCACAAAAAATTGTGCAGGCTCGTCCGACAGGTACAGTACAGTAGCTGAGGTACTATGACTCAGATTGTAGTGGAAGCGGGTGTGGTGTATGGTTCACCGCTGTATTGGGTTAAATCCTGTTGTTGTGATTAAACAGCAGAACCGGGTTCGACTCCTGGCACCCGCATCCGTTGGTGTTGTCTTGATTTTTCTAGTAGCTGGGGCTCTCGGCTTCATTTTGCCTTCATTTTCTGATGCTGTGCCAGCTCCGACACAAAACCACCAAAGGTCCAGCATTCTCCGAAATTTAAATCACCCAGGGTATCCGACTCCAGGGCCTCTTGTGCACAAGCACTGTGATCGTTCGTAGAGTGTAAGTACTGGGCACGCAGTTGGCCAGGAAGTGGGTGTGGTGTATGGATCACCGCTGTCCCCAATAGCGCTGCGTAAACCCAATATAAATCTGTAAACAGCAGAACCGGGTTCGACTCCCGGCACCCGCATCGGGTTAGACTGTCTTGGTTTTATCGCCTGGCTTCGGTTTGATTTTACCTTCATTTTTTTACCCTTCGTCAGTTTCAACAAAAAAGTCCCGCCTTCTCCGAGTCCGGGCAGCAGTACAGTTAAATCTCAACCCAGAGTATTTGAGTCCTGCCGCTGCGCCTCTCGTGCCCGGGCCGACTGCACCCGAATTGAATACATCTTGAGAGGCCTCACCGGATTCGCTTGCAATTGCTTTCTCTGTTTGGATGGAACTCTGGAGCCGTATCGAAGATTTTTCGCCGTTCGGTTCACTTAACAACGGCGAACGATCGGACCGGGACTGCCGACGCTCGGAGCCGAATCTAGCCGAAGTCGCCTTTTTTTCTCCCGCCACCATGACTCGAAGGTAAACGCAGCTTTCCATGGCACCACCACCGTTACTCGGCGATGCGCACGGAAACTACAGAGTCCACATCGTTGGGAACTGTGGTAAGCCTCTGTCTGAATGAAACTCATCATATTTGCTGTATGGACGCGACGGCAGGAGCGGGCAAGGAAAGTATTTCATGCCCCTTTGTACTCCAGGCAAAAGTATGCTATCCATCTTTCGGCGACTTCAGAGTACAGTCGGGAAGCGGCTCGCGGACGTCCTTGGGCTGCCGTTCATCTCGCTCGACGCGCTCTGTTGGAAGCCCGGCTGGGAGAAGTCGACGCGGGACGAGATGCGTGCCAGACTGGAGCAGAAGCTCGCCGATTGCCCCAACGGCTGGGTTGTTGACGGCAACTACGGACGCAGAATCGGCACGATCGTCGAGGACAACTCGACGGATGAGATCTGTACTTGCACCTTTTCCCCAATTCTCTCTGAACGAGGCCGCTAATCCCATTTATCTAACCTAGGGCTCGACCCCCCGTTGGCACTCTACCTTCCTCGACTTATCTGGCGCACCTTTCTGCGCCTGCTGAGGTTGGAAGCGCCGTGCAGCCCGGGCTGTTACGAGACGATCTCCAACGTGTTCTTCTCCAAAGAAAGCATCGTCTGGTGGTGCATCACATGGCACAGAATCGTTCGCGAACGCGAGACCGCCCGGATGGCCCGGATTGGACTTAGGATTGGCAGTGACGTCGAAGGGCAAAAAATGCGTAAGCGCTTGGTGGGTGGGGCAGAGAGTTGCGCGAGTGGTTCGGTGACGTCGAGCGTATGCTTCAGCATAAATAGATACCCTAGAGCCCTGGCTCATTTGTACTGAGGAGGCTTCATTGGTAGCGGGGAGTATTACCACCGAACCCTCGCTCAGACTCCAAGACGCGTCGTGGCAGTGGAGAAAGTTCTATAATACCATTCGAGTCCAATTATACATCTCGTGGAGTCGACAGGCTACTGCCTTTCCATCCTGGACATTGGAGCATCTGTTTATAAGACCCTCAATTGGGAGATGAGATGACCCATTCCTGATTAAGGTTGGAGTTCGCGGGGACGGCGCATTCCCAGATTTGAATCTGTGCATCACAGCAGGTCAGTGCGCCGCTCAAGCATGGAGGAGGAAGAGAATAGAAGATTATGAGGACGACATACTGGAGTGCCCGGTGTCGTGTTCCCTCCAGTGAGGTCGACGCAGAAATCCGTGCCCAGCCATTGGATCTGCGCGTTGTTTGCGCTGTTTGAGACGAGGAACATTTGGTTTGTGTTCCCCGGGGTGCAGGTCCATATCTGGAGTGTTTGGCCATTTACCGCGTTTCCTGGGAGCCGACGTTCATGAGCTGTACCGTGCCGTGTGATACTGCGTACCGTTCGTGACGTCGAGGCATTTTTCGCCGCTGAAAGTTGCGATCGAACCCGTGAGAGGAGCGACGGGGACAACCCAGGTGGTATTGCCGTTCTGGGTCATGCGAGGTTCGGCATGAATGATGCGGGATGGGGAGGAGATCACATACGGGAAACGAGGGATTCAAGTCGCCGCAAAGGCCGATGGCTACCGCGGCACCGTCCTCGTTGGACTCGGCGGTGAGGCAGAACCCGGCATCTGTGAGAAGGAATTAGGCCTATATCCGACCGTTCGCGCCCAGTGCACGCACCCCGTGTACTGTCGCCGCTGGCGAGCTGCCCAGCACTGGGGGTGGGTTGAGTCTTCTGCGGGACTGAGAAAAGACAACGCACATGAAGGCGGCGGCAGCTCTGCTTTGCATACCCTGCAACCGAGCCGCAGCGGAGAGCGTGAAGGCCAAGAGCGCGAAGCAGGTAAGGGAAAACATGATGGTGGTAGAAAGAGAAAAGGCTCTGGACTGCTTTATATGTTTGGCAAATGTATGGCGGTGATGGGCCCGTCATTTGGATCCGGCGACCGCTTACAGACCGTCGGAGGTATCACCCATCCCGATGATCCCGCGCGCGGATGCGGGCATAGGAAGCCTCGCAGTGAAAAAAAAGGTAAGAATAGGTAAGAATATGAATAGCGTCTGTTTGAATTGAATTAGAAATCATGACTCGATACCCGTACCCGACTCGCGGGTGGGGTATATCAAACGACCTTTTGATTCGTTGTTGAACCCGCTCGCCACTTCTTCTCAATTTGCTCCGATTCCCTTCGGATGTACAGCATCTCATGCTGACGTGTAGTAGGATTACTAGAGTATCGAAAAATAATCAAGCGACCCGGGATGGAATTACATGAGTTGCAAGGCGCGGCGTCTTCAGCCCGTACGCGTTTCAAACTCACTCGTTCAGCATATTGGAGCTCGCCGGGCTCACCGGGCACTCAGGAGCATGTTTGAAGAAGGCTCTACGACATAGGTCACCTATGAAATTCTTCCTCCGCGGTCATTGGTGCTCACTCGGGAGTTCGATTCCCGACGAATGTGAACCAGTTGGGTGAGACCCGCCTCGAGCGTGGGTGCCATAAATATAGAAGATTGCGAACAAGTTTTATTCGTCAAAACTTCATACATACAGCACGTCACAAATGTGTGTTATTCCACAGGGATCGCAGGACAAGTCGCGGATCAGGACTAGCGTTGCTGGACAATTGTTCGTTCAGAAGAATTTCACTGAAAAAGCTCACGCGTAAGTGATGAAGACATCGAAGGGAGGAGACTACTAACATGTACGATCGATGCCGGGAACGAGGTAGAAACCATTC